GTTCAGCTTCACGCAATCGTCGAGGCACAGCCATGGAATCCCTCGCCGTAACAATTCATTGCCCGTCGAAACGCAGGCTTCTCGCTCGTGGGCTGTTTATGCCGTCGTATCGTTTAAACTCTCTCGCACTTGTTTCTGAATCCCGCACCGAACATTTCGATTGGCCTCTGAACTGAAATATGATGTTGGGAATTAGTAGATATCTCACTTTTGTCCGATTGATAATATGTTATGCTCTCTTGTCTCATTTTCAGCCAGCTGTAGTTCTTGGCTTCGCTGGGTTTGCTTCGTTTCTTCATTACAATGATGAAAGAAGATCAGTTCCAAAAGGTATTTTTTTCGGGTTTGTTTCTTGTTTGCACATACTAGGTAATGAAAATCCATGAAAATTGAAATGATGCCCCATGAGATCCTCATGGTCCGGTAATATTTGGAGCATTGAGAAGCCACTTAGACCTTAGTATCTTTGGTCATTCACCTTGATATATCTGGACATGGACATTAGATTGGCTTAGCTTCTGGAGCATACGAGATTGAGACCGTCTTTCCATTGATTTTCTGCTTGTTCTTACAGGTCAGGGGGGAAGCCCTATCTCCAACACCACTGTTAAGGGTCCGATTATCGGGAGGCCGTTCACTTTGATCAGTACAGAGAATAAGATGGTCACCGAGAAGGACTTTCTCGGGAACTGGGTTCTACTCTATTTTGGATACACATTTTCTCCTGATGTCGGCCCGGAACAGTTAACAATGATGGCCAAGGCGATAGACAAACTAGGTTCAGTAACTTAAAGAAACTCATTCTACATTTGGAATTGTTCGGACCGAATTTAGCTAGCAGTACCTAATCTTACAGTGTCCGTATGACCAGAGTGCAGCCATAATCTGAAGATCCTTCCCGTGTTTGTCACCATGGATCCTCAACGCGACACACCTTCTCATCTCCATGCATACTTAAAAGGCATGTATCCCTCTTCCCACCAGTTAGTGTCTGCTTTTCTCAGAGAAAGGCATCTCATTTGGGAAAACTCTCTGACATGTTATTTGATTCCTTTTTGTTTCAGAGATTGACGGAAGAATCATGGGATTGACCGGACCTGTAGGTGCAATAAGGCAGATGGCTCAGGAGTACCGTGTCTATTTCAAGAAGGTCGAAGAGGAAGGGGGCGATTATCTTGTCGATACCTCTCACAACATGTGAGACAGAATCAATCTGTCAAGTTCTTACGAATTCATGTAACAGAAACCCATTTAATCTCAAGCAAAGCTGTTCACAGCTCAAAAGGGCATGCATGGTTTAACAATGCAGGTACTTGCTTAACCCGAAGATGGAGGTGGTGAGGTGCTTTGGGGTCGAGTACACAGCGGATGAGCTCTCACGCGAGATTCTGAAAGAAGTAAGCCCCCTTTCAAGGTTACCCTTTTAACCGGAACCAGAGAAATCCGAGACGAACGTTTTTTGGTCAGTGAAGTCCTTGAACTTCGTCTTCTAAGCCATCCATATACGTCGAGAGCTTGTAGTGTAGTTTTTTTTTTGGGGGGTAATTGAAAGGGTCGGACTTTTTTAGGGGAGAGGCAACATTCTTGAAATTCATCAGGCGAAGACAATATAGAGATAGACCACTGCATTTCCAATTCGGGAGTTGGTTTAAAATGATGTGACCCATGATGTTTTTGCTTATTTTGGCGTTTTGAGAACTTTAAAAGAATATTATATATATATATATATATATATATATATATATAAAGATAAATCCACCTATGTTTCAAAAATTACAAAGTTTATGTAGATCTATGATAATACTTAAACGTTTATATATTTTGGTAATAATTTTTAAAGTTTATGTAATTACAAAATTAAATAATGTATTTTGTTAAAAAAAACAATAGAAATTTATGTATTGCTGTTGCTCCAAATAATAGTAACGTTAATAATAAAAAGTTATCCATCCCGACACACACAGAAAAGCCATGTGACCCATGGATCTTGCCAGACCAAACATTAAAGATCCTTTACTCACTCTTTTTCTTCGATACTTGATAAAATATTATTCCCCGACCTGACCCACAAACGACCAATCATTTTATTCACCAATCACTCCCTCCACAAAACGACAAAAACAGGGCCTCATCCTCTCCATCACTCACGCACTCACACGACCCAAGAGAGAGCCTTCCGGATCTCGGACCCGACCCGATCGACGCCCTCCTTGACAGTGGACGGGCAGTTGTTTCGGATCGCGGTTAGCTCGTACGGAGCTGTATCGAGCGCCAGCCATTGCTCGACCTTGAAGCTCTGCTGAGAACACTGGGCATGGACACCGGTGGTCGTGACCTCCACGTAGTTGACGTACCATCCATGGTGGTCGCCCGACCCATCGGAGGTCAGGTTCAGTGCACAGACCGGACTCGGCAGGCACGGTGCTTTCCCGCTGAAAATGTCGAGGTTGCCCTTCTCGTAGTAGTTGTATTCCGAGCCCATTAGACCTCCCCATTTCTCCAGATCTCGGATCCCGATGTAGTCCCCGTGCTTATCGTAGATTCGTGCGCTGATGATGGAATCGGTCCCTGCCTTGAATATCGATCCCGTCCGGATGTAGAATGTGTACACACAGTCCGGATCGTCGTCCTGCAAGGTCGGATAATCCGGCGACCAAAAAAATAGAAGAAAGAGTCAAAATAGATATCAGGGAAAAATAGAGATGCGGAGGCGATTCGGGGAACTTACGGCGAAGGCAACAGCTGAGACGGCAGCGAAGAGGAGAGAGAGGAGGAGAATGTCGCGGCGAGCCATCATTTCCGGTCAGCTTTTGCTCCGATCTTGGAGAGACTGATGTGATGTATATACATTCTCAAGGGTATTATGGGAATTTAAAGAGAATTATCACGTGCAGAGGTGCATAGATAAATTTGAACAAAGCCCAATGGGCCATGGATTATTTTCAGAATCTCATACCGAATTGCCCACTTAAAAAAAGGTGTAAATAATTTGGGCCACACCAAACAAGCCCATGGACTATTATTACGAGATTGCCACTCTATCATGGAAATCCGGCGTGTACGTTCGAAAGATAAACTCGCGGTGACAATGATAATTTATATGCCTCTAATATATATATATATATATTTTATTATGTAACCTATATTATATATATATATGGTTAAATAATTTGGCAACAACAAATGGAAATTTTTCTAAAAAGGAGGGACGAAGGTAAGTGGGCAAACTCCAAAATGCAAAATTGTCTCTAGACCAACCAAAGTCTGAGCCATGCAACGATACCGCCATACAAACCCTAATTTCACCATTTTCCTCTTCTCTCTCTCTTTCTCTTGCTCCTTCTCTCTCTATTGTCACCCTCCAAATTAAGAGCCGCACATAACAACACAGGCACTTCGCCGGCGCTTTCTCCTATGGAGGGGCCACGGCTTCCTCGGCCGCCCTCCACTATCCACGAAGACGACAAGCCCGACGATACATCGTCCGCCTTCCACCGGCCCACCTCCCGCCTGGGACGAAGGTAAGTGGGCAAACTCCAAAATGCAAAATTGTCTCTAGACCAACCAAAGTCTGAGCCATGCAACGATACCGCCATACAAACCCTAATTTCACCATTTTCCTCTTCTCTCTCTCTTTCTCTTGCTCCTTCTCTCTCTATTGTCACCCTCCAAATTAAGAGCCGCACATAACAACACAGGCACTTCGCCGGCGCTTTCTCCTATGGAGGGGCCACGGCTTCCTCGGCCGCCCTCCACTATCCACGAAGACGACAAGCCCGACGATCCATCGTCCGCCTTCCACCGGCCCACCTCCAGCCTGCCCGACCTCCTCTCCGGCTCCGGCAGCCCCTCCTCCTCCCATTGGCGCCAAAATTCCCTCAACTTTTTGCCGAGCCCTACTCCTCCTCATGATCCCCCTCCCGAACCGATCCCCGAGGTCGAGACCTATGTGGTCCAAGCCCCCAAGGATCAGGTTTATTGGGTCCCACCCCCGGAACATGCCAATATCGCACAACAAAGACGGAAGCCAGAGCGAAAGAAGAAAGGTGGACGTTGTAAACGGCTTGCGTGGTTTTCCATCATCTTGGTCGTTCTCGGGATCATCATGGGTTTCGTCGGTTTGATCGTCAATTTCGTCTTCCGTCCCGTTCAACCGATATTCAATGTCTACAAGTTCGCCGTCAAATCTAATCAATCTCACGTTGTATCGTATGGAATCACGATAAGAGCCGAAAACCCCACGTCCAATATGGGCGTCGAATACACGGAGGGTGATATCGTTTCGATTTCGTACGAGGGCAAGAATATCGGAAGTGGGAAATTTCCCAAGCTGACGCAATCCGCTTATGGATCCGACCCGGTTCATCTGAAGCTCGACGCGTCCAAGAACGCCGCATTGCCCAAGTCGAAACAGTCGGTGAAGCTGATTTTGTCGGCAGATCTCAAGGCGGAGTACGGTGTGGGGCCGTTGAGATGGAAGGAGGAAGTGACTGTGACGTGTAATGTGAACGTGAAAGATTTAAACGATCACATTGAGTCGCAGAGGTGTGAGACCGAATTCATCTTGAAGAAGTGACGATGTGCACGTAAATGCGCATGCATGGGATCGATCGTACGTGTTTTAGAGGTATGTTATTACATAATATGTACGATGTAACGCTGTTTTGTTCCTTCGTCTTTGTTTTACAGTTTCATGTATGTATTACACGTTGTTAATACATCCGGCGGCAAGAGAAAACGCAACCCACTAAACAAAAAAGAAGCAAGAGAGAGTATAGCTAATTGTTGTGTAATGACTGGAGACTAGCTTCTCATGTATTGTTTTTTCATAATTATAGAAAGGAAAAATCACATATTAAAGATATCAACGCAGTTTAAAGCGCTTCGTAGTCAATCAAAAAATAAAATAACATACTAATTAACTCAACTTTTTAAAATATAACAAATAAATACTTAAATTTTTAATTTGATATAGCTGTTATCACAAATATTAATAATATTCTAAATTGATAGCTCAAATGTTCTGAATTAATATCATGATTCATGAAATCGATGCCAAATTTCAATTTTTTCTATAAAATATAAAGGATGTATGCGAACAATTTGATTACGAAGCAAGTGTAGGATATTTCTTAACAGTGACACAACTTATTGGAAAACTTCAATAATTCTCTCCAATTCATAATTCGAGTTTATAAATTATTATCGATTTCAGAAGTTTCGATATCAATTTAGAATATTTTAATATTTGGATTAATAATTATATATATTAAAAGTTTAGATATTTATTTATATATTTTAGAAAAAAGAGGTATATATATATATATATATATATATATATATTTCTTATCATGTCCGCACATAAAAAAAGATTAGGGGGGTACGGCACACTCAAATTTTGGTGAACACATTTAATTTGCATGTATGATTTTTCTACGTGAGATTTGCATAGGATTGCATATGTCACACTAAAAATAGTAAAAGGGGTAGGGTGCTTTAGAACAACCGTTGGTATGTATGTGCAAGGGCGGGTCTAGAAAATTTTATTATTTGAGATATCAATAATTGGGTAAAATTCAAGGAAATCTTAATATAGCATAAGAATTTAAATTTTCTGAAACTCTAGAGAAAAACAGAAAATATCTTCCCCACAAGGTTAGGTTTTCTGCAACCAAACATGAATGGATCCATCTTGTTATGATATATATATTCATTAGTTTTATATATATAGCTCGCGCGCACACACATATATTATATATAAATGTTATTGGCTCGAATAAAGTGGAAGCAAATAATGTATAAAATAAAAATAATAAAAAAATCATGTGTGTGAAAGAACAAAGAAGGATACGTTTTGGTAAATTTTTGGAAGTATGAACACTGTCTTTATGCGATGAAAGGAAAGAATCGGAATATTGGATAAGATTCTCTGTCTTTAAGCCCAAGGCGATGCCTCCCATACTCTCCTCTGTCCTATGCCTCGCCATTATAAATTTGCACATAAATAAATAAATAAATAAATACAGAGAAGATTTAAAAAGATTGTATAAAATATTACGTGGTATCTAGATTTGATTTTTTTTAGGATTTGATTTTAAGTAATATTACTTGGTTAACTAACAGAAATCCTCCCAAATCTAATCTTACATATTACGTAATATTATTCAATTTTTCCAAATTTTCTCCGTGAGAAAGAGTCTTCACTGCCAAAGAGCAAAGTCATGTTATAGATTTCTCTGTTTCGGACGAACTGAAGCTTAACTTTGATGCTTTGATCCGTAGATTCCAATTAAAGTGTCCGATCCAATATTACATTCTTAAATAAAATCATAATCAGATGATTTATTACAAGCGCCGCTGTTGAAAAGCCCTAGATGTTCATTAACATTCATTAACTAATACTCAACATGCTGAATCATAAGCAAGACTCTGAAATTTACATCTCTGTAGATTTAGAAAGAAACATCATACATAACGTATGGCACATGAGATATCTCCGATTTGTCGGCCGAGGACTAAAAATTTACCGGCCAGACCAAACTTGGAGATCGACACTTTTGTTCATGTTCTTACTGCTATAAAAGTAAGACGACACTAAACCCTAATCCAGAAGACGAGACATATAGCATCGACATGGATTCCCTGCAACTGCTTTAAAAATTTATGTTGCAGAGACATATTACATCGACATCAGGAGGGACTCGAGATATTACTAGACCTGCAGATGGAAAATTACTGCGAAGGGTCTTAGGATTCGGACAGTTTGCTGATCGCTTCCCAGTCGATCTCCACCGAGGGAAACTTCTCCAATCCCAAATTCCCGATCTCGTCAAACCCAGAGTCGGAGAAGTCCAGGAACGTAATCCCTGACTCCGGCGACGAAGATCCGGCCTGAGACTCGTCGGACACCGAGTGTTCATCGAATCTCGGGAACCCAGATTCGGTTTTGTCCGATAACTCCGACTCCTGCTCTGTTTTGGGCTGAATCAGTTCGGTCTCATCCGAAACAGAGCATGGTTCCTCTGTTTTCCTCAAGCCCTGGCAGATCGCTTCAAGTTTGGCGTCGACCGAAGCGTGGAGGGGCTTGAAGCTACCGACAAGGCCGTTTTCGTCGTGCCTGATGTGAGGGAAGTTAAGGCGAGCGAGCTCACCTCGGAGCTTGTAAGCGGCCTGGTCGTAGGCCATGGCGGCTTCCTCTGCGGTGTCGAATGTTCCGAGCCAGAGACGGGTTCGGTTCTTGGGCAAACGGATCTCGGCGACCCATTTGCCCCAGTGCCTCTGCCTAACGCCTCGGTAGAGCTTCTGGGATTTCAACGAACAAGAAGAGAAATTCTTCATGGGGACAGGCTTTGGGGAGAGGTTGGAGACGAAGGCGTGTCTCTGGTTGAGTTGGTTCTGGATCTGGTTGATCTGATAAGGGGTGAGCTGATTAAGGCCGAGAGGTGCTGTCTGGGAGAAACCCATGCTCGGGAAGAAACTGGTGTTTGGCAGGTAGGAAAGTTCGGGAAAATTTGGCTGTGGGTAGGAAGAAAGTTGGGAGAAAGAAGGAGAAAGAGGAGAAAAGGGAGGAGAAGGAGAAGCGCTTTTCATAAAAGGTTCAAGTGCTTTCATGAGTTCTTCTCTAAAAGGATCTGAGAAATTTGAGCTGCTATTGAACATATCAATGGCCGCCATGCATATATATATATATGTGTATGTGTACCTGTGGCTTATCAGACAAAACCAAAAAAGCTAAGAAACAAGGTGAGATCAAAGAAAAAAAAAGGTAAGATTTTGAAGATACCCAGATGAAATTTTTGCCGGGCAAATCAACAGAGAGGGATTAAAAACACACCCTCTTAGTCGATTAGCTCGAAATCAAAATCTATATATAAAAAAAGGAACCCAGATTTCTGTTCTGATCACCTGGCTCTCTGAAAGACTCTATCAAGGTTTTGGGAAGAAACCCGAATCCGTGAGCTTTTGAAAGACGGATGACGAACAGAAAACAGAGCAAGAAGAAGAAGAAGAAGAAGATCAAACAAACAGGATTAAAATGCGAAAATCGAAAATCAAAGGATCGAAACGAGGAACTCTGGAACTCGCTTTTGTCACTCCTGGTTTCTACGCCTGAGCAGTTTCTCTTGCTTTATATAACCCCAAAGCGCCCATTGGGCTCGTCCAAAAGTTTTTTATAAATTAATAATTATATGATAATGTTTAATTTTTTTCCCTCTCGTCAGCTCAAAGACATCTTTATTCCATGGAGGCTTTAGACCAATAGGAACGCGACGTTCACATGTGCTTAGGATCCAAGCCATTTCCCCAAAAAAAAAATTAGAAATGTTATTCTCCTTGTTGCCATATACTATCAAGTTTCACAAAAGAAAAACATTATTATTTCATTATTCTTCTTTGCACCATTTCTAATTTTAATGCAAACTTCGTTTCAATTACCACGTTTTGCTTTTATATTCATTAATCTAACAAAAAATTATTCTATTAAAAAAAATATCTACGATACGTGCAGAATTCTAAACTTTAGTTTTGTATGTTTAATTTAATAATTTAAAATATTAGACCTAAATTCCATCATGTGAGATATAAAAAAATATTGATAATAAACATAAGTTACATAATTATATTAATCCAAAAACCAACATTTCATGTGAATTACCATTCTGTATGATATGCATCAGATTTTGGAATGATTGATAAGTTTTGTCTCGTAGGTATTGATGAGGACATAGAGAGCTGGAATCTAGCCGAAGCTAACCCATGGGTAAGGTTAAGATAACCAGAGAAGTTAACCAAAGTGTTGAGAGTTATATAAATAAGTAAATAAATAAATCATGTGATGACACAGTCGCCAGTTGCGGCGCCATACGTAATAAAAAGCTGTAAGAGTCCAATTCTGATTTTGATTCTACGCCACGTCGAAAGGCCAACTTGTCTCTTACCACAACTCTTAACCATGGTTAGGTTACATCCGTGGAATTTTCCAAAAATAAATAAATAAACAAAAAAAAGTTGAGATTGTAACACCCATATTTCCTAGGACACGTTTCATTGTCACTTACCAACATATTGAGTTTGTTTTAGGCGTCGGGTGCCGTGGACTTATTATAATGGATTTGATAAAATGGGCCAAAACTGTAAAATAGAGAAAAATGATGGGTGGGTTTATAATAACGAAATATTAAACGCCAGTTGCAAACATCGAGTTGCAGTTTGCGTCACAAGGAAGCGAAAGGATTCCCCCCCCCCTTTTTTGGTACTTTTCCAGTCTTAAATGTCATATATAAAAAAAATGTGTTGTTAATATATCTACATATGGTAATTTGACACCTTTAATTCTCACGCGCAAAAAACAAGGACGTGGGTCCCGCAATGGATTTCACACATAAGATCTGACGTGGACGCCACTTTCTCTCACGTAGACGGCGAGCGATAAGATTACAAAAGACAAAGCCGAGTAACCACCTATGGTCACGTAGGTTGTCTTTCCTCTACAATCAACGAGGCATCATCATGATTTCATGTGGGCTTTAATTAATAGACCGTCGCATAATTAGCCCTTAAATTTGACATTTTTGTTCATTTTGAGTATCATATTTGATTATCCGTTAATTCAGTTTTAATACCCTCGCATAAAGATTGGTATAAATGGTTCAATATCTTTTGATGAATACAAATGATGATATTAAAAGACTACGTCAACAACATAAATGCACATTGTGAATATTTCCATCCATTAAATTTCTACCGGAAAATATATATATATTTTTTTGATAATCCGGAAGTTCACCGGACTTTTGACCCGACTACATCTCCCGGAGGACCGGGGAAGCCCATGTGAATACCCCTTCCCACGCTTGGATTTGAACCCAAGGTGAGAGCATGTTTTGTATATTCTCTCACCACTAGGCCACCCAAACTTGGGTTATACCGGAAAACATGATTCAACTATATAATATTCTTATGAATTACATGGGCATTTCAATGAGCATTTTGTATTTAAACGGATTAGGTTGGTGGATTTATAAATACAACGATAAGATGGGGAGGTAGTGGCCACTAACATTGGAGCAAATCGTGACAAAACATATAACGAGGATATCTTTTAAAATTCAATGGAAGTAGTTGACTTCCCATAGGGTCAACTGTTCCACCACAAAACTAGTGGTCGCGAGATAATCTCAAGACAAAAGCAGCGTTTATGCATTATTTCGGGATATGTAATATTATTGATTGTCTACGTGGAATTCTTTCTTATAGCCTTACGACTTTTTTTTTCTTATATATATAAGAGTCAATGTTCCTGGCGATGAATATGATATGGCCTTACCCCATTAACTTGGAAAATTCCATCCACCTCGCAGTCGTCCAAAAATACTTTTTTCCCTTTCATATATTCGCATTTATATGAACAAATAAATAAATCTAATTTAAAATTTTTCACCGTTACTAAAAAAATATAAAAAAAAGTCATATATATTCCTATTAAATTACATTCTAATTAATTTTTATTAAAATTATTTTTTTAATTAAAGATAGAATTGTATTTTTTTTAATAAAATTACTTAAAAAGTCTAAAACGATATCTGATTAATAAAAAATATTTTGTATAACGACATCTATACTATTAATTATAAGTCATGATATTTGAACTTTGATTTAATGTTGGATTTTTGGGGCTTTCTACAAAATATTTAGATTCTCTAGACAATCATTCAAATTTTCATTCTCATAATTCCACGAGATCAAAAAAAAAAAAAAGGAAGAGACCCCAAGACGACAAAGGGTTTTCTCCGTTTCATAGTCTCAACGGTTAGAATTATTACAGTAAGCAATTTCAGCTGCTTCAGTTTTATGCTTTACATCTTCGTACATTTTCAGAGAAGCTTCCGAGAACTTCTTCAATCTCTCTAGAAGCTTCGCCAAGCCTCCATGAATGGACGTCAAGCTCGACGCTTGGCCACACTTATTCTCTTCCAATCTATCCTCTGTTTCTTCCGCTTCTCCGTTCCGATCCATCAGAAGCTGTAGATCCGTAGAGAAGGCTCTGATCGAGCCGTTCAGTTCATCGGCCGGCAGGGATTTCATCCCGGCCGACCAGTCCCTACAGAGGACGAATATCGGTGGGGCCAGGACGCGGCGTGGGGACCACGGTCGCCGGTTTCTGGAACGTTCTTGAGGGAGCAAGACGCAGTGGTGGAGCCACCCACTTAGGGCTTCCACGTAGGAAGCCATGCTGCTGACAAAATCCATGAAGCTGAGACCAAAACGCTCAGTTTCATCTAGAAGCTCTGACAGAATCTGTCTCTTGTGGGTGTTGCTGTCTGGTGTGGGGTTTGACGAGTTTCTTCTACAATGGTAGGCCAGTGAGATGGTGATGTACTGTGAATGGTGGCACTCAAGCATCGCTTTCCACATTCTTATCATCCTGAACGGACAAGAATTTCATAGACCCAATTGAATTTTACAAAGCATTGAACCAGATACCTTCAAGAACCATGTATAGAGAAACCAGAGCATGTTAGTTTTTTTTTTACCCGTGGACGAGCTCTGTGAGCTGTGGCTGAAGCTCCTCGTCCCTGATTCTCTCGATGCGTTTGGATATGGAGTCTACTGATTGGATCGAGACTCTGATTCTCGAGTGAAGATCCTTTACCGCCGCTCTCGTTTTGTCTATCGTGTGAGCGCTCTGATCCTTTGCGAACTGAATCCTCAGATGCTCGCATTTCCTGTCGTACTCCTTCCTTATCGTTTCGCTAGCCTTTGACACAAACATACCAGCAACCCTAATCAGTGAAAGACAACCTATTGTGTGCTGACATGTTATACCGAATTTGATTCTTGATAAACAAGACACAAGCTTCCGGGTAGTTCGGCCATTGTAATATTCATTCGGGTAGAGAACTATAAAAGGGCAAATACCTTGACTTCATCGAAGAGTTTTCTCTCCCAGGCGAATAATCTGTCGAGTGTGGAGGAGTGACTACCAGAGATCATGCAGAAGAACTCTTCCCCGAAGTCGCTTCCACTATCATCGGGATCTCCTTTGGATGGTGGAATCAATGGATGCCTCGAAGACGAGGATCTCGAGGATGATGTCCTCTTCCAGACAATAACTTTGGTTGCATGATTCATGGGTTCTGCATTAAAGCTTAAACAAGCCATATCAGACAAATACTCACATTCTTAGAATTCTAAACTCAATGCCTCACGATTCAATGACGGCCTATACAGGAGAGATTAATGTGAATAGACAGAGCATTTATCGGATAGAGCCCACCGGAAAGCATTACCTTGAGAAACAGGGGAGGCTTTACCCCGACAACAAACGTTCTTGAGGGCAGCAAGAAACGCCATGGAACCTATCCTTCCTGCAAACGAAGGAATTCTCATTTCAGCCAAAAATGAGTAAAGCTTAATGATCTCTTCAGGTCTGGATATCATCGGTTTTCAACCTGTTGTCTCTGCGAATCCGACCCTGATCTTGTTACTTTCAAGCATCCTCGAGACTTCTCTTCCAGATTCAGATGCCCTTAAGAACCTGTGCTCTATATCCTTAATGCTCGACACGAAATCCTTAGCCCTGTGTGTAATAAACTCCGACGGATCTTCTCTCTCGCCATACGGATTCTTGCCTTCCGTCTTGGAGCTCAAGTGACTTTCATGGAACCGCATTGTCGTCTCCGGACCAGCTTTTCCACCTGATTCATCACTTTCCACCGTACCACAAGCTACATTTCTCTGTCTAAACTGTTCCCATCCTATGGCTGCGTCAGAATCCATATCGGGTTGATCTTGCCCTATAAACCTAAGGCTCTCAAAGTCATCAGAAGGGTCAAAATAGTCCCACGATGACGACTGCGGCCGTCCCGGTCGCGGCGGCGCCCGAGATTCCGTCGTCGCTGCCAGTAATTCATCCTCGTTGCTCGGTGGGTTCACCGTGAAAGTGACGGAAGGAGTAGTCTCCGTCTTCATGTAACTCAAATTCCTGGTCGGAGGCGAAATGGGTGTACGGTTAGCGTTCACGCAGTTCGGTGACGGAGAAGAAGGGGAAGCGTAGGAGGAGTGAGAAGGGGACTTCTCCGGCTCGGTGGCGGCGGAGTTCGTCCTCGACAGAGACGATTCCGTCGGTAACTCCGCCTCTGCGTAACGGCGGAGACAGGTTCCGATGTTCCGGAGGGAGTAGATGTACGACAAATGGGCGGCGGCGAGAGAGCATCTTGCATCAATGGCTTGTTTCACGAATCTGTTTCTCTCTTTGCAGAGACGAATCGCCTCGTCCTTGGCCGTTTTGGAGTTGGAACACCCCATTTTCTCGAGAATCGAATGACCCATTTCATCAAACTAACTCACTTACCCCACGGATTTTCCCGGAAATCTCTCGAACGAAAATTCGAATAACTCGGGACTGCTTAGTAAAAACCCAAACGTTACAAACGGAGGAAACGCCGAGAAAACAGAGCAAGAAGCTTTTTTTCTCAGGAAGAGTGACACAGTACGAAACAAAACCGAAACCCAAAAATGAAAAAGACAAGACACAGAGACTGAAAAAGGCGAAGAGGATGGTTCAAAAACAACGTTAGAGCCCTTTCCTGTTAAGTGCAACCCATCAATGGTGGTGGTCGTGAGCCGCTTCGCAATTACTGAGGAACAGTGGCATCCTCTTCCCCCTTTTTTGCCTGTTTGGAGCAGTAGCTTTCACTGAACAAGTGGGCACGCGAAAGAAAGAGTAGTTGGGGCATTCACTCGTGAAACCCGAATGCCATTGACGGAAACCTGAAAAGCAGATTCGATCAGAGAAATCAGAACCTGAGATTTTGCAGAAACGGTGAGAGAGAGAGAAGATAGAGAAATTTCTCTACGCCCGCTGCCTCGTTGTACGCGAAAATTAAAAGCACGGAGATTTTAGTTCATTCAAACCGAGATCATTACACCAAAAAGCTGAGGGAGAAAAGGAAAAGGCAACGACGAGAAATTCCAAGATAAAGAACATGTATCTGTCTTCACTTACATGAAAACTCAATAATCGCCAAATATAATATGAAAAGTCCATACTTTTATTTAATCTTATTTGCGAAGAACCCATCACTGAAAGCTCGTTACTTTATCTTTCTTTTCGTTGAAATTAAACTGAACGAGGGAGGAGGAGGAAGGGGGAATTCATGTTGGCATAGAGAAGCGTGTATAATGATCTGACAGAAATGCCCCTCTTTTAAGCCCCGAGTCTCTCTCCAACGTCTCCTTGAAACCCGGGCTTTCGTTGTAATTTTTTTAAAAAATATTTTTCACTACCATGAATATTTTTTTCTTGCGTTACTGTTTATGTAAATATTGTCATCCTGATTCTTGTATATATATATATATATATTTCCCAGAAGTTTTAAAGAACAAACTCTTTTGTGGTTTGACAAAGAACGCGAGAGAAATAAATACTGAAATTGAGCAGATAAAATGATAAATTCAGTGATACTTTAAAAAATTCAAAAAGTTTATAATTCCAAGAAGACAAACTACCATGTGCTAGGGATGTCAAAACGAGCGGAGCTCGCGAGCCGGCTCGAGGTTGGCTCTTTTTTTACCGAGCCGAGCCAAGAATATCTGAATCCAAATAAAAATGGGCTGAGTGAGCCAGCTCACCACGAGCCGAGCCCAAACGAGCTAGCTCGACTGGCTCCCCCGCTGGTTCGGGAGTTGGAGTAAAAAAAAATTTACGTTGAAACTTGAAAGTGTTGATATTGTTGGTATAATATTTTGATTTGGAGATAATTTTTTATGTATAGATTCGGATATGAAGATGGTTTTTTGTCTATGGATTAAGATATAACTGTATATGGATGGATTAAGATCTGAAAATGGTTTTTTGTACATGGATGGATTATAATTTTATCTATTTGAAAATGATTTTTTGTATATAGATTGTGATTGTGAATATAAATATGATTTGGATGTATTGGTATGTTCTTTTTATGTTGATATATCATTTGGATATGATTTTATATAATGTGATATGATTTTTTTTAGGTATTTAGAAAAATATGAGCCGGCTCGCGAGCTAAGCGACTTGGGTTGAGACAGAAATTTTCTAGCCCAAATAAAAATGGGCTTAACGAGCTGTGCTGAAAATGAGCTGGCTCGAAATGAGTTGGTCCGAGCTGATCCGAGCCGACTCGTTTGACATCCCTACCATGTGCCTTGCACTTTGTTCTTTACCAAAGATAGATATATATATACACCCATTCATACAACTAAGTCTATTAATTAAGAATTAAATAGTTTTATATTACAATGTGACAAAAAAGGTATGGAGACGGGACAAGAACAAAAGGAAAGCTAATCGACAAAACATTTAAAAAAAAAAATCATAAATGGATTCGTAAATAAAAACACGTGAGCAATTTGTATGTGATGGGCCCATTACAAATTAAGAATTTAAATTTGGTAAAATAATAATTGGGCCGTTTATGAGGCCTAATAAAAAAAGTGTTGGGTCAATACTTTAACATTAGGCCGGTATCGAGGCCTACTTATAATAAAAATCTTTCTGTGTCGTAACGAGGCCCAACATTAATACAATCTTAAGTTTTTATTAATTGCATTATATTAGGCCGATAATGAAGCCCATATTACATTAAAAAAATTTAATGTTATGTGGTAAAAATCTTACATTAACATTTAGCCCAACTTTAACAAATTAATCCAATTCGATACATTCTTTGCTTGTCCTTTTTAGTTCAAATTATATATATATAAAAAAAACTGAATAAAGGATTTTATTAGTTTTATAAATTAAAAAAAATTTAAACTTAAATGTTAAGATTAGTTCATGTCTCTCTCTTTTTTTTTTTACAAAAGACCCTTTTGTGTCCTAGGCCCAAAGACCTATACAATCCTCAACCCTACTCAATAATTGTCTCATATCTACTATATTAAATTAAATGACTACCTTTTTGTTGTATATATTTTGTAACCGAGAATAATATAGCAAAGATGAGAAGAAGAGAGAAAATGTGAAAATTGCTTCTGTTTTCCTTATATACAAACAAGAACACCGACTTTGATCATAAATATATGAATTATATTGCGTTTCCTTATATATATATCAATTAATTGGCCATGCACATCTCATTGTGACTTTATTATGAACAAAATTATATTGTAGAGTGATTGAAATGCTGGGATGGAGGCCATATAAAACATGTCATTTTAAGTTGTGAATATAAGTTAGAGAAGCTTTAGGGTTCGGTGATTTTAATTGTAATAATATGGTCTGCTGGAGTGTATGGTCGCCTTTAATTATATTTAATGGATTCTTTATATCTATTAATATTCCAAGCAAATCAAAGGAAATCTCATAGAGATTCAATGAATCAGAGTAATAATAATAATAATAATAATAATAATAATATCCACAGCAATAGATAATAATGTATTAAACACTTCAAATATTTAGACAAATATGATATATATGCAATCTTGCAAGTCGAGACTTTAAGCACATATGATCCTAAGACCCACCCGACCCGACCCGACCCGCACCCAAGACATTCTCCTTAATTATTGTGTCGACACTATTTATGATCTGTATATATTTTTTTCTTTAAATTAAACATTTCCATATCCATATACAAGGATAAAAAAAATAACCACCTAGAAACGTGTATAGTATTTTGCACTTTAGTGAACTACTAAACGCAAAAAGAAAAAATAAGTTTTTGGAGTCTATAATAATAACTAACTTAATTTACAAAAAAAAAATAACTAACTTATGATGTAAACATATATATATATATAGAGAGAGAGAGAGAGTAAATGTCCATAAAATTATCGTACGACTTTGAAGATGATTGCCCACGTGGAATGGAAATCTGATGATATACGTACTTGCATGTTCTACATGAATGCGTGTATATATATATATATATATATATATATATATCAGTACGTATATATGTACGTACATACGCGTGTGTTGTGTGTTTAGTTACGCTTCGAGATGTCTATATATATTTCGTAACGAAAAGGTGAAAATAAAAGTAAAAACATGGGGACAATCTTGGCACTTGTGTTTGAAGTTGATGATGTGTGCCCCAATAAAATTCGTACCTAACAAAATATATACTAATCTAATGATCGCTATGTGTATATATATATATATATTTATTGTTCATCAAAACTTTTATGCATGGCGATCCTACGCATATATAAAGAAGCTACGAGAGAGAAAAAAACTTGTGTCTATATATATGAAAATATGTATAATTTTCCTTACGAAAAAATATGATTGTGAAATTTGATAAATAATCAATTTAACAAAAAAGATATATACACATATATATATACGTACACGAAAGTTTGCAAAGCATCAAACGCAAATATCTAAAACTTCGCGTACAGGTTAAGACGTGAGGGAAGTATTAAATTTTATTTTATTTGTGAAGAATAATATATAAGAGTAAGTACACGAAATATATATATATAATATATACGTTACATGATGCTGTATATAATGTTTAAATGGAATTGTATCTGGACCTTGTTCCCGCAAGCAACGGCCTTGATTCTCTCTCTCTCTCAAAGGAAAAAAAAAAAGTTTTTTTTTTTCTGTTCTTGTCGAAGAGATGTTGGTAGGGAAACGACCGAGGCCGCAGATGCGGAGGACGACGAGCGTGACCGGAATCACCGTCGAGCTCACGAACCAGGAGGCGGAGAGCGCCTGTTCGGATCACCCCAACGGCGGCGTCGGAGCAGGAGGTGGCTCCGCCGTGGCGTGGACAGCCGCCGTCGCTGGCGG